GAGGGGGAAGGGGGGAGGGGGCTTCGAAGGACTAGTATTTTAATTCAGGGAGAGTAGCTATATTCCTCGCCGCTTCTTGCTAAAGAAATCGGAGTTAAGCAATGAAATGAAATTATACATCAATATCGTTTACCTGGATCTCGCTCGTCCTTGAGCATCAAGTTCAACTGTGGGAACACCCAGGCGTACAAATCTCGTGAAAAGGGATTGTTCCATGTTGGAAAACTTCTGGAAAGCCATGTTCTTTATAACAGGGGGGAGCTACAAACAAAACAGCAACATAGAAAATACCCTATTTTTACAGGACAAAATTCTGTTTGTGCTTTAAATTCTGGCCGAATCTTTAACGAATTGCAAAACTAACAAAAATAACATCGATATTACTGAACTACTGCGAGGTCTGTATTGAGGAAATATCACTGGAGTTTCTTTCTTTAAGTTTATGGACCATCAAAAGGCGAAATCGACAAACTGCCGAAAACGAACGAGAGCATTATCCCCAAATACGGACAGTCCAAGCCCCGTGATTACCATAAACGTTTTTCTACTGAACTCTGCATATAAGTCATTGCTTCCATTCCATGTGAACTCGCGCGCCTAAATCAAAACATATCTCTGTGTTTTTTCGGGCTTTTTTGTGAAGTTCAACAGAAATTGATTTCGCCGATACTAATTCGTGGGCACTGTCACTTAGGGGCCCGTATTGCAAAATCTGGACCACTCAACTCACTCAACCCAGACCAATAAGTTACCACTTACAGTACTCGGCCAAACCAAAGCGTAGTAAAACCAAAACCAAAACCAAGTAATTGGCTGACTACTTTTGACACTCAATTGAAAACCGCTCTGTGGGAAATCGAACATTAATAACAAAATGGTCTCACAGTAAACAAACCTGGTGATGATCTCCGATGAGAATAACCCTCTTCATTCGATTGTATCCATCTTCAGGATTCTGTTAGTGAAGTCATGAAGCCAAGTTAACGAGCTGTCCCTTCATTGGCCAAAAATAGCCACGTGGTACATCACTATGGAAACTTATCACGTCACCATCCCAGTGACGAGAGCAAATAACCTGGTTGCCGCATTAGCATGCACTGATCATGTGCGCTTGACCAATAGAGTGAAAGAAAACCGAACCAGTTCAATCACTGAATGGACTTTAAACATGAACTTTTCAAGGCCAGGGTCTGTTATAGAAACCATCGTTAACCTTTTGCCACTAAACCCAAGCGGACAAGACTTGAAAATTTACTGAGTTGACCTACAAGCCATTCTACTGCTAAAACTATGGCTTTCTTAGCAAACGTTTCCAAACAAATGAGAGTTTTCTGTATTTTGGCCCAGCAAATTGTTCTTGCCTCATTTTTCGCGACCAAAATGTGGGGTCGTTTGCTAGGAAATTAGTTTTTAAGGAAAATAAAGTTGATTCTAACCTGAAGCAAGAGCGGTATAAAAGTCTCAATCTCCAATATCTGCGCAGCTTCTTCCATCAACACATTATCATACTACAGAGGAAAAACAACAATGTGACATGTCACTGCACCCATACATGCTGAAATTGCCCCTTGCAAGAGATAGCAAGTTCAAATTCAGTTCCAAAAAACACCACGTCAGCTTTGAACAAAATTGAGGTCTGTAAATGTACGTGATAAGGTACAGCAAACGTGCTTGCGTTCATTTACTTTAAATTCTACTCGCCTTAAACCCAAGCTCCACCAGATCCCTTCTCTTGAGAGCGGCATGGGTACAAGTCATGGCAATAATCTTAGCTTCTTTCACAAGCAAGTAGTTTGTTCGATCACGACCTACAACAGAACAACACACAAAGTCACGAAAAGGGTGTATTATAAAGAAAGCAGCCGAATGTTCACTGCGATGGGCACAGATCCGAGTGGTCTGGGCTTTACTTTAGCTGGAGCGACCAGAGACAAATGTTGAAGAGTAACGGGGCGTCATGGCTAGCAAAAGACAAGCAACATAACATGTAACTACTCACCACTACGAAGAAGCTCAAATGCTCTGAACTCCTGCAAAAATCAATCAAAAAGAGATTACATTCCAATCTTTCAGTCAAGAAAAACTAATTCTCCATGGCGACTTCTATATCCTGCTTTTATTGCTAGTTATGAGAATTTGGCGTTAGATCAAGAAAGTATTGACCTTTCTTGTTAAAAATCGGTATACATATTGTAAGCAGAAATTAGATGCTATACGTCCTTTTCAGAAATGAGTTCCTGGTGATGGCAAGATGAAAGGAAGAGTTGTATTACTGTACCTCTAACTGTTGAAAGATCTTCTTGATGTATCTGTAGCAGCCCTGAAAATAACCACAGCAAAGGGCATAAGTAACAGACTGAAGTAAAATTCTGGTGGGAAGTGGCGGTCTTATGTTCCATTAAGGAGGACTACACAGTGAAAATTCCTGAAGGTCTGTATCATCGACCGGATTTTAGGTAGAGATCAACCAGAGGATATTACCCGGAAGGACACCAGCGTTGAACTCGTGAAAATCTTAGGCCGAGAGTCTAGCCAATCAAATCTCTCTAGAGCCACCCGTTCCTCTAACCAAGGCTCCACCGGCCAAGAAGGACGAGCAGCTCTGGGGACGACAATGCAAGACAAAAGTCCCACAGTTTTAACTAACGCAGATTGGGAGCGAGTTAAAAAAGATTTGTTTCAGTTTTTCTCGTCATATACAGCAAAAAATGTACAACAAAACCCTGATTTACCTCAGCAATCTCCATATCTTCTTCGCAGGTTTCCATTTTAAACACAGGCTGAGAAAGAAATTTACACAAAGTACAGAGCTTCGCAACGCAATTCCATAAAAAAATACTTGAATAATGGTAAACTAACAATAAGTATTATCAACGAGTCCTAACTGACAATCAAATACAGAATAAAATATGTAAAAAAAAAAGAACTAGTCGCTTCTTATTAAATTGTACCCACTGTAGGCGACAACTGAGTAGCTTAAGTTAATTGAATCAAACAAGACTCACTTGCGGTGCATTATCAAAGAATTTCGTGAAAGGAAAAAGTTCTGATATAGCAGCAACCTCTCCTTTCTGAAAGCAAAAATGCAGAAAATAAATAAACACAGTATCGACAGAGACTTATACTAAACACACAAGAATGCGACTTCAAGATTAACTTGAAGTGAGAATAACTAAAGATTCTCAACCGTCTCTTGAACATACTAAAGCACTCATCGGTTGTCACTAGTTAAAACGACGGTTCTTTTCTGCGATTGATATTATTACCATAAATAAATGAATAGTTGGCTATCTTAGTTACCCGTGTTTTCAGTTTTGCCGTGTATTCTTCCCAACGAGATACAACCTACAACAACAACAAACGCGTTATATTTCGAACGTTTACCTAGAAGATACAACAACAACAACAACAGCAGCAGCAGCAGCAGCAGCAACAACATCTTTATTCACTCGTACATTTACAGTTTTGTAAAAATATATATCAATAGAAGGGCAGAAAAAAAAAATGTACATTTGAGTCAGGAGACTGAAATAACCTGAAAGTTTTCTATAAACGTTATTTACTGTGAGAACATGTAACAGGCACGAGGCTTTTCATACCTGATACAGGTAAAAATAACCCGCTGTCTCGCACGTATATGAAACATCACCATGAACATCAAGGCTTTCCTACAAAAAAAATTCAAGTACTGCAGTGTCAAAATGAAGCTAACTTGGGTGGAACTCAAATGGCTACTTCACGATATACTAAAAAGGCATTTTTGTTATGCACCACATTACCTTCAAATCAAAGGTACTGCTGAGAGACTGAAAAAACCCCAGAACAAACAACAACAAACAAACAAACAAACACACACAAAAAAAATTGTAAGGTTGCTTCACCTGTAGTCGTTGTACTTCCTTCAAAAGTTCCAGTCTGCTCGCAAGAACAAAGTTCACTCGACCATACCTAGCATCAAATAATAAAGACAGACCATTACAAACCAAAGAAGTTAACAGTTCACAGAAACAATTTTCGTTATAATGCCGCAACTTGGTGTCCATAGTAGCGGAGGTTCCTACCAATCTTAGTTTGTTTTCAGCAAAAAAAAAAAAATAATAAAAAAAAATAAATAGAGACACAAACTTTGCCCAGTGTAATGAGAGTAAGCGAAAGAAGAGAAACAGAAAGGCGGAAGAAAAGAAGAGAGGGAGAAACATGGTCACGCGAGAACTGAGAGCCAAGCGCCTCGAGTGACCTAGCCATCTTGAACAGCTGACTCGTTCTTAATTTCATACAAACCTGCTGAAATCTTTCTCTGTTTCCAATGCTTCTTCTCCGTGTCCCAAACGAAGTAAGTGACGTTCTTCGATGTCCAAAGCCATGATTTTCTCAAACAGTTGATTCAAAGCCTGCAGGAAAAGTTAATAACAACGTAAAAAGAAAGCCGGTAAGTATATTGGCAAGTTTGTTTGTTTGTTTGTTTTTTTGTTTTGTTTTTTTTTTTTTAACAAGGAATTGTTTACATCAATTTTTTTAGCAGCGTCAGCAATGTTTCAAAAATTGTTGCAAGGTGTTGCAAAGGTTGTACTATAAAGGCAAGCACTGCAAAATCATGACTTTGCAGCGTACCGTAAAATCACACGTTAAAGCCCTGGGCTAATATAACTTCATGAGGGGTTTTGGGTGGGCTTATAAACGGGGGGCGGGGGCGGGAGGCGGAATAAAAAATATGTTTCGGCACGACGAGATAAAACGTTTCTGACAAAGGAATTAAAGCTAACATATCATTACAGCTATTACACTCAGAGCGTTGTTATACATATGTATCAACATTTGTTTCTTTCTCTGGTATCATTTTAACAAATTGACGTCAGTTTTTCATGCGGCCGTGCTGTTATTGATCATGATTTTCGTCATAACATTGTCAAAGTAGCTATGGATCCACGAGGCGATTGCCGACCGACGTTTGCAAAGAAACGCAAAAGGAACGCACTTATAATTTAGATGGGCTTATATCTGGGGGGGG